CCTGAGCAGATTCGACGAAGCGGAGAAAGCCTACTATGACGCGACCAAGCTCAAGCCTGAAGACCCACAGGCATGGCTCGGGCTAAGGGGCATGTACGAAGGTCTCAAGGGCGCGAAGGTTGACGAGAACATTGACGTCGGACTGGAACTAGCACAGATATACATGAACTTGTATGTCTCGTATATAAAGCTAGGGAGACTACAATGCTAACAAGAACAGGGACGACGCGCACAAGTCCCAATCCGCCATCGATAAGCTCGTAGATCACGCCCGCGCCCATGGCACCAAGACTCAATATGCACGCGCACTCAGTACCCAGCTGCCGTCCTCTCCCGTATACTCTTACCTCGAAGGTCGTCTGCCAGACCCGTCAAAAACGTACACGCGCATAGCCGAGATCCACGAGACACAGGAGGCTTCCACAATCAAGCGGCTCATAGAAGAGAGACGACTTCGCATCGGCGCGACACTGGAGGGTACCACAGCCTCTGTTAAGAACGAGATATACGCTACTAGCCCGCTAGAAGGGATATACGAGGAGATCATCAACTGGACGGGCGATGACGAGCTGAGACGGGAATACGAGGAGAAGCTGCTGGCTAGAGCGTACGATACCTTGATGGTGCTGCCATCAGGAGAGAAGGCGGAGAAGAGGGAGAAAGTCATGAAGCTGGCCCATGACATGGTTGTGATCAAGCACTCGAACCTCCTGGCTTGGACAATCGAGTTGGAGTGGCGGAGCGGTATGGAGGTCGAGGCATACTAGACGATTTCCCGAGATTCTGCATAGCAAGGCGTTTGGCTGTTCGATGACCGTTTTGGGGGGAATTTGGCACATGAATGGGACCGAGTTCGGACCCCCTTCTGAAATATACGAACGTTTGCATTATGATAATCTTTGCGCAAAAATACTTCCAGACGCCAAACGCCTCCCATGCTACCCTTGTTCTCTACGCGTTCGCCGCGCCTACGACCCTCTTTCTCTCCTCTACACTGTAAAGACTTTCGCCCTGCTTGAGCGCATGAATGAGCATCGGCACACTGCTCGCCTTGAAGTCTGGTGCTTCACGCACTTTGTCGAGATCGTCAGCGAACTCAGCCGCGATTTTGCGCAGATAGAGGGCGCCGAAATCGTCTTGCGCCTGTTGACTAGCCTTTGACGCTGCCTGCTTTGGTGGCGGAGAAGCTGGTACATCCGTCATAGCGACATCTTCATCTGGCTGAGCCTCTGGAGCACTGCCTGTCTTGGACTTTTTCTTCTTCTTCTCTTTCTTAGCGGGTGCTGGTGCTGGTGCTGGCGCTGGCGAAACATCCTTTTTCGAGTCAGATCAGATCAGACCTGTTCAACGCGACACCCATACCTTTGTTTCTTCTTCTACCGCGGCCACCTTTTGACTCTTTACACTTGAGACATCGCTGTCACTTTCGCTCGATGATGAGACTGTCCAGTTGTTAGCGTATACCTCGCGAACTGTTCAACAGCGCTCCTTGTACCCTCAGTTCTCGTCCTCCTCTTCTTCGACCGCTTCTTCTTTTCGATACCGCTTGCTCCTCTTTGTGGCGCCATTTCGTCGTGTTTGGTAGAGTAGGAAAAAGTTCGAGACGTGAATGTTGGTTATCGATAAGGCACGTGCGCCGCTAAGTCAAGGGTCTGCACGCTTACTAGTCCTCATCTCTCTCGGATCATAGCATCACGGCAGGAACCAGAATACGTCGAAGACAGAGGCCCGTCCATCGTGTATCTGATTTTCAAAGACTGATGATGTCGATGCTACGCTTGCCATGCCGCGAGATGCGATTACCTCTATCTGAACTAACCCGGGAACCCTATCATCCTTCAGCCTCTTCTACAAGATGCTCTCTATCGTAGCAAGCTCTTCCATGGCACTCTTTACGCTCGTCTTGATTGCGTCGCCAACTGGCAAGTACGGTCGCCTTGGGTTGAGCTTCCCCTCGGCGCCCTCGATGCCAGCAGCTTTCGCACTGTATTGACTAACAGCATGCTTCGTGGGAGCGATTCCAGCCTTGATCGGGCTCTCCGCGAGCGCCGCCTTGCGGTGAAGCTCCAAGGCTTCTTGAGTCTTCCCAGTAGTATACCACTCGTATACCTTTGAGCAGACCTTCGGGAAGACGTTACTGAATGCTGACACACATCCTGCACTTCCAACTGCGAGGCCAGCAACCAACCAATCCGCTTGGCCTGCATACGTAGAGAAGGTATCGCTTGGCAGCTCAGCACATAGCCTGGTTATCTTCGCGACGCTGCCACACGTCAACTTTACGCCGACAATCTTGCCAGGGTTCCGTTTTGCGAGCGCGGCGATCGTGACAGAATCAAGGTCCACCCCATTGCAGATACCCGGGAAGTTGTAGATGACGATAGGCAACTCGGATTTCTGCGCAACCTCATCGTAGAAAGCCATGACAACTTCTTTAGAAGCTGCTGGCCCATAGTACGCCGCTGGTAGCAAAAGTCCATGATTGGCTCCAGCCTCAATTGCGTCGCTAATGTTCTCCATGACTTGAGGTACAGAGAAGCCTGAGATGCCGACCATCAGAGGGTAGTCGGGGCCGACGGCCTCACGAGCACATTTCATCAACGCTCTCTTCTCATCGCGAGTGAGGAGAAATGCCTCAGCGTTAGAGCCAAGAACGACTAAACCAGTAAGACCCGATTTGGAGAGGTATTGGAAATACTGTTTCTGTGCGGCGAGATCCAAGGTTGCCGTGTCGCTTTCGGGAGTGTAGAAGGTTACTGCGGGGCACCATACGCCCGGAGCTGGAGGAGGAGCCATAGCGACTGTAATTGTTGATAATAGCTTCCAGGGAGGGTATGCTTTCTGGGTCGACCTTAGTGATCAAAGCGGGGAGGCGGGGTGCAGGTGGGGTAGTAAATCCGACAATGGAAACCTGCGAGCGTTTCTGTAATCAATACTTATTTCAATGTTCAGCAGCACATAGGTAGTAATATATGAGATCTGAGTTGGGAGGATGAAAGGTGGCCATGCACCATCGGAGTCATGCCGTGGGCCTTCAATAGCCGCTGCGCGGAACGTCCACGGGTTCCGACTGTCCCGATGCTCGCATTTGTTGAGCCTCATCTTGTGCCAATCTCCACTCTTCCAATAACGGCCTTCCAGATAGCGACCTTTCTCGTGAAATCCACCGAATGTATTTGGAGATGTATCACTATAAGAATGCCTTGGGAGTGGCCGGTCCACCCCTCACCTGCCCTTCGTAGGTTGGCCCCACTGCTTTCGGTGGTAGACTGGACCGCTGCTGCCAATCGTAGACCTATGAAACAACAGCATGTTTCTCGGCTCGATCATCGTCATGAATACAGCCATTCTAGATAAGAATGAGAAGAGTTTTCTGTCGGCATATTCGACTATCCAGGGCAGCATTACGATCGATCCTCTTGCTAAACTTGACTCAACCCTAGCATAGGCAGATCCTAGTGTCCAGGCTGATTGTATGTGTCTATTCCAATGAGAGAACCTCTTCTCAAGCGGGCAAGATGTCGTCTCCGAAAAGTCATTCATGTCCCCCGCCCCCGCGAAACCCATATCAGCAAAAAAGGACTCACGCGACACGACCAACAAGCTCCTGACTTGGCGAATGCAACGACAGTCACGATTACCAAACCCAGAAACAGGCTCCAGAAAATACTCATGGCTGTATCGAAGAAGTACAGAGGACGATTACACAACGAACTCGCACAAAGGCTTCATCAGGACGTTCGCAACGCCCGAAGCATCGACATGTCACGCACTATGGATGTTCCTACCCCTGTTCTCGTACCTACACAAGGGCAGAGTTCATCGTTCTTATTGATGCCTGCAGAGATTCGAAACGAAGTCTATCGGTATCTCCTGCCGGATGTTACCAGCCTGCGAGACGTTACCGGTCTTCTTAGCGCTTGCAAGCAGATCCGTCAAGAGTTTTCCAGCATGATAGTCGCCGAGAGCCAGTTAGTCATGAACGGCGCAGTACAGAAGAGCATCGATATGGTTCAAGTAGCTTTTTCCACTACTGAGATAGATTCGGTCATCGGCACGCCCCAGATCCAGACGCACTCCCACCTTCATAACGTGAAAGTCCGTCTCGGAATGCGCGATACACGCTCGCTACCTGCCGACGCAAATGAACCACGCATATACTTCGACGACGTCTTCGCCTCGTTCCGCGAATTACTGAGCCTACATCTACCTTACGTTACCGTCAATGTCCCTGCCGCAATCGCCAAAGACGCCAGTATAGCCGATCCCGAACTTCGACATCGCCTGCTAGACGCATGCATCTTTACCTTCAGGGGATTGGAAGAGACTCCAGGGGTCACATTGAACGTGCAGCACGTTATATTCAAGATTCAGACTCACAAGTGGGATACCGCGGCTCTTATACATGAACCTGTTGTAGTCTTTGTAAGACGTATCAACGAACAGAAAGAGATTAAGTTTGATCTGCTTTGGAAGGACCCAAGGACGGAGAGCCAGCAAAACTCCACAGATATGGCAATGATGGCACAGTTGAAAGATATCGTAAGGAAGAGTCGAGAAGCTACTTTAAGTGATCATTAGAGACGCCACACAGAGCTGCATACTACTGGCAAGCAACGTTGGAGATGCGAACCTGTGGCTGATAACTCCTAATCGCTAGGATATTTCTGAGAATTTAGTTCATGGGAAGCGACGCATATTCCGTAATAATTACAAACAAATTGACTTACCTTGGGTCGCCTAATGATATCCCCACAACAAGTACGAAACTGGTCTGGGCTCCTTCGACATGTGGATTAAAGAGTTTTCTCGTTGCCATCTGACCAAGTCTAAACGTATGGGTTCCAAGGCTGCCCTTTCGCATGGGTATAATTGTATTCTTTGCCGCCAAAACACCATCACCTACCACTGCCCCTCCTGCCCGCCTAAACTCTGAAACTAGGGAATATATCGAGATAGGTCGCGCGGTTAGCAGAATCGCGCGAGGAGACTCCGACTCGATGACCAGTGGGTACAGCAAGTCAGCTCCTACCCAGGACGGCACCAATCGCCTCCTCCAATTGCCAGGCGAGATACGCAACACGATCTACGAATACGCACTCACCGCCAACCATCACGAGCTCTTCTATCGCGATTCGATCGACTTCGACACCATACCCCAGGCAGTGACCGAAGAGGTCAACAGTATAGACGATATCTGGCACGCAACACCCCAAGAATGTGTGGATGCGTATTACGAACATGAGTCCGCGCAGGGCGTAAAGCTGTGTTCTACCGCAGAATCTACATCCGAGTTCAACCAGCTGAAGTACGTGTGCAAGCAACTCTACAAAGAGACCAAGCACTTGTCACTGTTATACAACGATATCGTATTCGCCCAAGACAACGTATGCGCTCAAAACGCTACCCATCAGTTCATCCGCTTCGTGCGCCAATGCGACAAGTCTTGGACTTCTAAAGTCAAAACTGTGGAAATTCGACCATTAGTTCGCTCCAAAGATGAACGAGTGGATGTCGGAGGCCTCATCGTGAAGGGGCACTTCGATGAGTTGCGCATTACGTTAGCCGACCCCTGCCATAAGCTAAATCTCCTGGCCGACTACTGCATCGAAAATCCCAGGGTGCATGTCCGATTCCGTTTATTGGCATATGGACCATTGTGTCTTATGTATCATGAGGCAGCGCTTTTTCAACGTCGACTTCCCTCAGTCTTCTATGGAAATGGGACCTGCGTACCTTTTGGCAACCATCTGCGTGTTGTCAACGACCATTGCAAGACTCTAGCTGTTCGGCTGAGCCAATGTCGCAATTTTCGGTTGTTCCTTACCAAAGAGGAAGCGTTTGATGAGCAAAGACTTAGGAAGTGTATGGTAGAACATAAGTTCTTTCGCAAACACATCTTACCGCTACGTGATGGGGGATTGCAGGAATGCATCGAGGGTAGGAGGAGTATCTTTCTTGAGGGGGTGTGATTACAGGTAGTCTCGGAGAGGGCGAACGCGATGCATTAGTAAAACAAGGACATCTGCGCTTAGCACAAGGCATCTGCTCGCTCAAATATGATTCCTTCATTCGACGAATACCAAACTACATCCTTAGATCTTAATACCCTCCAAAATCGGCTTCGCCTCCTCACTCTGCCACCACCCATCCTTACCACCAGGGAAGCTAAACCGATCCATACTCTCAGGCTTCATCTCAACCGAGTAACCAGGATCCATAGGAGTAACATAGTAACCGTTCTCAATCCTGGACGGGTGGAAAAAGTGCTCATGCAGATGGTCAACGTACTCCAACACGGACTTCTTCCCCGACACAACAACGTAGTCGATGGTCGAAAGATGCTGTGTGTACTCTGGAAGGCCCACACCACCCGAGTGCGGTACGATGGGGATGTTGAACTTGGCGGCCATGAGGAGCACGGCAATGACTTCGTTGACACCGCCGAGGCGGCAGGCGTCGATTTGGCAAATGTCGATGGCGCCTGAGGCGAGGAATTGCTTGAACATGACGCGGTTTTGGCACATTTCTCCTGTTGCGACACCAATGTTGTATGGCTTTAGGGCTTCGCGAATTGCTTTGTGGCCGAGGACTGTTGAGGTCAGTATGCGTTTCTCTATAATATAGAAGCAAGGAAAGGGGTACGTACCGTCATCAGGGCTGGTGGGCTCCTCGATGAACCATGGCTTGAACTCCTTCAACGCCTTCATGTACTCAATCGCCTCCGGTACACTCCAGACCTGGTTCGCATCGACCATAAGCACATTACCCTTGTCGAAACCAATGATCTCTCGTGCGATGCTTAGACGCTGCTTATCTTGCGCGATATCGCTTCCGACCTTGAGCTTGAAGTGCTTGTATCCCTTTGACAGTGTCTCCTTCAGAAGACCACGCATCTTGTCTTCACCGTAACCGAGCCATCCCGCAGAAGTAGTGTATGCGGGAACAGCGCGGCTATCAAGGGCTTCTTGGAGTCGCTCCTTCTTACCGGCTTCGGCTTTGGTCAAGATCTCCAGCGCCTCCTCGGGGGTGATGGCATCGGTGATGTAGCGGAAATCGATCAAGTCGACTATTTGCTGGGGTGTCATGTCTGCAACGATGCGCCATACAGGTTGGCCGAGTGATTTGGCCCAGAGATCCCAGATGGCGTTTACGACGGCACCGAGAGCGAGATGAATAACTCCCTTCTCTGGTCCAATCCATCGAAGTTGAGAGTCGTTTACCAGGTGACGCCATGTCTTTCCCCAGTTCGCGACGAGTGAGTCGAGTGTGTGGCCCTTGATGCGGTCGGCAAGGTAGGCGATGGCGGTGCATACAATCTCGTTACCGCGGCCAATTGTGAAGGTCTGGAAATTGTAAGCAATCAAGAAACGAATGGATTCAGTGTTAAGTGGTCACAAGTTGGCCGGTTCAGGGGTACCCATGAGTTGGGGGAAGAGATGAGATGACCAGGGCGGAGTCGCCATAGTAGCTCATCTCTTCTACTCATAGCCAACATCGAATGAGATTAGACTTACCATACCATGACCCTTGAACTCAGAGTCTGTGTGTAGGATACAGTAAGCTGAAGAGTAGTCTCCCGCTGCGTTCATAGCATCGGAACCAGTCTTGTCAAGGGATGTCTATTGCAGACGCGTTAGATTCCTCTTTCTCTATCATATAGCTTGAATGACTAGGGAGCATACCGGAAACCGCACATCCCTCGTCTCAGCACCTGTGATTGTGATGGCCATTGTGGTGTTTTCGTTGTGTTGCTACCGATGTTCGGAATGATCGGAATACCCCGCAAAGCTACCAAAAGTTGAGGTTCTTTTTAAGCAAGACTTGAACACCAGGAAAGATGAAGATGAATGAAGAGGTCAAGGTGAAATGGTTGAGCGAGATACTTATTCCGTCTGGAGGCAGGATCTAGACGGTCTATTTAACTGGCAAGGCATCCGGCACAACACTCCACGCATCTCCACGCCAAATAGTGCCAACCGCCCGCGCCATCGTGAAATCCACCCCACTTGCCCCTCATCATTCGTGGAAGATCTCGGCGCGCCACTTTCTGGGGCTGGAAAAATCGGGGCATTTGGCAACGTTGCCGGCATTTTATTTACCTCACACGTGAGCTGTACAGTGCTACACCCCACGAACTATAGGGGTCCCTTGCCCAGGACGCGGCTCCAGGTGCTTCGCGGCTAGGCGAGAAGCTTGGGCTTGACGACGCGTGACAACGCTTAGCAGCGTGCGAGGAGAAACTACGTAGAAAGCCGCCGTGATGACACGGGCAAGTAGGTCAATGTGAAGCTTGTTCCTGACCTACCCCAACGACTTCTTTACGATCGTGAAGTGTGATCAAATACCGCGGCAAACAAGGCTTACCGGCCGCGGGGTGGCATGAGTGGGTTTAAGGAGTAGTCCAACCCGAGGATCATGAGTACCATCAAGGTAGACTCTCAATGCTGAACATCAGCAAAGTAGAAAGAGCACGCATAATACTTACGCCGCATAAGACTACAGCGAAGCATCATCCAAATTTGAACAACGGTAAAGGAAGAACGGCTGTGTATTAGTGGTGTGACAATCGAAAGTAAAAGGACGGACCTGGTATGACTCTCCATTCCAACCGTACACCCATTATCTACACGTCGTTTCGTGATGCAAGATCCGAGGACCCTACAGCGCGTCAATACTACCCAAACAAGACCAAGACCTCCCAAATACTCACTCGCCCGGTTCGTGAGGAATGCAAGAGCCGTATCGGTGATGAATCCGAAAGGCACTGTCGAAGATGGATTGCTGTTCCACATGAGCAAAAAGCAACGTCCTCACTTGATACCCCTCTTCTCGGTCTCACTGTAGTAGATGACCATACGCCAGAGCTTCTTCACGAGGGACTCAGCTTCGTCATCGAGAGCCACTTCCAAGTTCTCCACCAGGGGCTGCGGTGCGCCCTTGCTCTTCAAATGGTCCACAATAGCGTCGACAAGCATCTCTTCTTGTACACCAGTGAGCTCAAGAACCTTGTTGGCAGCCCACTGCTTGATATCCTTGTCGATGTTTTTCTGAGGCAAATGCTCCCAAGCGACGGGCCATTTCCACAGGCCTTCCTTGTCGTTGGGAATGTCGCGCGCCAACTGTCGCTGGGCTTCTTCGATTTCTTCTTGCGTAAGGTTGGCACGTACAGCCGCATCGAAGTTGATGGGCACGAGAGTTCGCTTCTTGGCACCGGATTGATCTGTGAGGTCCTCGTCCTCGAGCAGGTTCTCGACATCGGCGGCGGTTCGACGGGGAGCGGCAGTCTTTTCGAGCTTCTTGGCGGCGGCCCCGAGCGAGATCTTGAAATGAGCTGGCTCGCGCTGTTCCTCCCTGCGCATAAGCTCTTCGCCTTGCTCCTCCAAGAAGGCATCGGCCTGGCCGCGGGCATGGTCCTTCTGCTTCCTCTGCGAGGCCAACTCGCGCCGTTCTTGTTCGCGATCGATCGCGTCTTCCTTTGCCTCCTGACCACGGACTGACTCGCGGTCGCGGATCCAGTCGCTGTGATCGCGGTAGTAGAGATCGCGTCTCGAAGCTGCCTCTTGATCATCGTCAAATTCTCGAAGTTGCTTCGCTTGTGCTGCACGAGCTTTCTCGCGCTCCGCGTCCATGTTCTTGAAGTAGTCGTTTGTACGCTCGACGGAAGCGAAAGTACGACGCTCGGTCTGAAGCCAGCGGGAGAGTTGCTTCTTGTATGCATCATCAGCTTCTTCTGCTCGCTTCTTCTTGCGACGACGCTCAAGTTCCGAGTCGCTGGCGGAGTCATCGTCGTCCTCGCGGTTGATGTATGCACCGTTATGTACGGCACCGCCATTGACAAAGTTGACACCACCTTGGTAGTCTCGGGGAAATTGTGAGCCCTTCGGCCCACTGGGCGCACCTTGAACACCCCGTTCTGCTCTGGGGCCCAGCGGTACACCATTGGCACCTCCGGGTCCAGTAGGGGCGGATGGTGGTGGGGATGCACGTCTACCACTACGCCTGCGCTCCTCGGCTTCAAGCTCCTCTTCTTTCAGGAGTCGTTCGCGATCGCGTTGGTTGGAACGGTCGCGGAAGGCAGCAATTTCTGCGGCGACAATTTCGCGCATCTCTGCAGGGATGTCCGCAAGCTCATCCTCGCCATTTGCAAGGTTGACGAATGCAACTTCCACGTCTTCACCGTCTTGTGCCTGTGCATCTTGCATCATTGTGTCTCCTGCGTAGTCGACGTTGGGAGCGTTCGGCGGGTTGAAAAAGCTCGCGAGGACCGAGGAAAGCGCTTCTTTGGCACTGTCGAGCCTAAATTGAACCGTGGCCTCGTCCTCGTTTCGGGTCTTGCTCCATTCCTCTGCGTACTTGATCGAAGCATCATCCACCATGACGTGCAACTTGGTCGTCTCCACCTCGTCTTGTTCGCCGTCGTCGGTTTTGGGCTTGCCGGCCTTTTGACGCTTTGTAGGCACACGCACGTCTTTGAATATCTCGGCGGCTGTCTCCAAGCTCTGGGCGTCTCCAAATTCGGCGAACCCAAA